CATGTACCCACTAAATCAAAAATAAAAGTGGAATTTATATTAAAAAAAAAAAAAAAAAAAATTTTATTTTTTTTAAGGGGGTTTTTTTTTTTTTTTTTTTTTTTTTTTTTGAGACGGAGTCTTGCTCTGTCTCCAGGCTGGAGTGCAGTGGCGCAATCTCGGCTCACTGCAACCTCCACCTCTAAGGAACTTATTTTACTGGCCAAGGGACTTGGAGAGGGAGGGAATTCCTCCCAGGTTAAAAGTCCCTGTCTCCCTCATCAGGGTGGATTTTTCCTTCTTGAGTCCCCTTCCACACTCTCCCATGGAAGCCTGTCTTCTCCTCCTAAACTTCATCTCTCTCTATTCCCTTCCACTCAGTGTTGAAGCTGCTTTCCTCTCCTGGATTCCATCTTTCTGTATTCTCTCACTCAGTATGAGAGGAGCATTCCTTCTCTGGTTTTCCCCCTTCTGGGAATCCTTCTCACTCAGTGTGAGAGCCGCTTTTCTTTCTCTCGCTCAGTGGGACAGCTAGCTGTTTCTTTCTCTCTTCTCCTTTTTCTTTCTCTACCTAAACAAATCACTTCTCTGCAGAAGCTTTTTGAGTCCGGTATTTCCGAATGCACTGCGCTGTGGTCTCCTCTCCCATTCCTGGGTGAGTGATAGAGCAAGAACCTGGAGAAACAGCCTCTCAGGGGAGCTGAAGGCTCCCCTAAACCCCAAAACCCGGAAAGAGTATTAGATTCTCATAAGGACCACACTTAGATCCCGCTCCAGTGCAGTTCACCATAGGGTTTGCCCTGCTCTGAGAATCTAATGCCTTGGGCTGATGTGACAGGAGGCGGAGGTCAGGCTATAAGCCTCCCTGGCCCACTGCTCAGCTTCTGCTGTGCGGCCTGCTAGGAATAGGCCACAGACTGGTATGGGTCCAATGCCCCCATGTTGAGGACCCCTGATATAGATCCAAAAAAGCCATTTCTGGTCCTGATGTGTTTAATGTATCACCTTCTTACAGAAAGACTATCATTTATCACCCAAATATCCTCAATCTTCAGATTAATATTGTGCATACTGAAGGCTTAATGTGTTTTTTGCTTTGAGGTCCAAGTAAGTATATATTATACAATGAAAAGACAGAGAATCAGATAGTCCTTGTCCATTTAGGCTGCTATAACAAAATACCATAAACTACTGTTTCTTAGAAACAACAGAAGTTTGGCTGGGTACGGTGGCTCACATCTGTAACCCCAGCACTTTGGAAGGCTGAGGCAGGCAGATCACTTGAGGTCAGGAGTCCAAGACTAGGCTGGCCAACATGGTGAAACCCTGTCTCAACTAAAAATACAAAAATTAGCTGATATGATGGTGGGAGCCTGTAATCCCAGCTACTCAGGAGGCTGAGGCAGGAGAGTCACTTGAACCTGGGAAGCAGGGTTTGCAGTGGGCTGAGATCGCACCACTACACTCCAGCCTGGGCGACAGAGCAAGACTCCATCTCAAAAAAATGTATTTGTCACAGTTCTGGAGGCTGAGAAATCCAAGATAAAGACACTGGCAGATTCAGTGCCTGGTTGAGGGCCTGCTCTCTCATAGATCGTGCTTTCTGCTGTGTCTTCACTTGATGGAAATGGCAAAGTAGCTCTCTGGAACCTCTTTCGTAGGGCCACTAATTCTATTCATGAAGCCTCTGCCATCCAAAAGGCCTTTCAAAAAGCCCGTTTTCTGATACCTTCACCCTGGTTGTTAGGATTTTAACATATGGATTTGGGAGGAACGTAAACTTTCAGACCACAAAACAGATATTTGATGATTAGAATAGTAAAATGTGCTAATCCTCAGTGCATTCCAAATGTTTCTGGTTCTTCCCCTCTTAGGTACTTGGTAGGATGGAATTTTTGGCTCCCTTCTAAGTGGATGCAGACAAATGACTAGATAGGGCTTTTGAGTGATGAGTGTAAGTGCTGATGCATAACCTCCTTTGTCTCTAGAGTTGTTACCAGCAAAATCTGAGCTAATGGCTATAAGTCATAGATGACTAGAAAAAGCAAGGTGGCTTGCCAAACATCAGTGGACATGAAGGACGCAAGAAATGAAACTTTGTGGTATTCCAGGCCTTGAGGTTTTGTGGCGGGGAAGGGGTGTTTGTTACTATGGAGTAATTTGGCCTATGCTGATGGATTCAGCATGCTTTCTAACAATCATCTGGAAGAGCTATTTCTTTCATAAATAAGCATGCTTTTCCTAGAAAGAACTAAAAATAGATTCTATCCGTAACAATAAAATATTTTAAAAACCTGACATTAGGAAAAGGAAAGCATATTTTCACCAAGTCAATACAATATTGTTATGTAAAATGGCAATACTACATATCAATCTAATTTACATATGAGTGGATCTATTATTAATAGCCTGTAGACCACAAATAATGACATTTACAAAATAAGTTGTCATGTTTAACTTAGAAAGGAGGTCAGTATACTCTAAGAAGGAAACTTAAGATGACTTCCGCTCTGCTTAAAGTTTGGAAACTTACCTGTTGGTCTGAAAACTGAAACAGTGTATTTTTTAAAATACATGTCTAAAGCATGCTATTGTTTTTCTGGTGCCAGGCTGACAAAGAATGCTAGCTCTGAAAGACTGTTATTTAACTGATTTCTCTTTGAAACTGAGGAAAATATTATATAAACTGCCCCACATTTCTCCAGTGTCTCAATACAGTGAAAAGCTGTACCGGTAACAGTGCCGCTTGTCAAAAGAAAATCTTCATATCAAGATAAATTATTTAGCATTGAATTTTCCCCCAGTAATAATTGAACTCAAGGCCTTCAAACACAGAGGCATTTCACAATAGCAATTTGTGCTCCCAGTTTTTGATATAGCTCTTTCCATTGTGTTCCCACAGCCAAAAAGAAAGACAGATTATGAAGGCAGGATTTTGAAAACATTTTACACCCATTCACGTGGATATGTGGCTTCAAAATTAATTTGTAAAATATTATGAGGAAAATTGATGGAAAAGAAGTAGTGAGAGGTCCTACAAAAAAAATGCAAATGTGTTATGTGCAAACATGGAGCTTCAAGCACTGAGGACAATAGGTTACTGTTTACATTGATTAGATACATTTTGATGTATATGTCCATACTAATGGAAAACCATCATGATATTATCCTAAATAATGATGTTTTGTCTTTATATTTTATTCCTCTCTTTCTCGTTCAGTCATACTGAGAATGCAAAAATGAGGCTTTGATCACTTGTTAATTTAAATGAAATAATGCATTTGTCTCACAAATGACCCTCTTGCCTCTTCTGAGATGGCCAGTGTACCTCTAGAATTAACATAAAGTCCAAGAATGCTAAGAATTTACTCAGCTTAAATGTGAATCCTACCTATGATGGAAAAACAGAAACACATTAGCGAGATGAGTTTATTCGTGGTCCCTTTCCCTGTTGATCTGTTGCTTAAACTGCTTCCACGACTCATGTCAGCAGCAGAGTAATCAACAAAAATATAAAGAAAAAGAGGCCGGGCGCGGTGGCTCAAGCCTGTAATCCTAGCACTTTGGGAGGCCGAGGCTGGTGGATCACGAGGTCAAGAGATCGAGACCATCCTGGTCAACATGGTGAAACCCCGTCTCTACTAAAAATACAAAAAATTAGCTGGGCATGGTGGCGCGTGTCTGTAATCCCAGCTACTCAGGAGGCTGAGGCAGGAGAATTGCCTGAACCCAGGAGGCGGAGGTTGCGGTGAGCCGAGATTGCGCCATTGCATTATAGCCTGGGTAACAAGAGTGAAACTCCGTCTCAAAAAAAAAAAAAAAAAAAAGAAAAAGAAAAAGAAACTTGAGTGTCCTTCTGGCTCCTGTCAATATATCCACAATTCTGATCCACCACACGTGTTGTACCTGCCTTGAGCATGCCAGCTTTTCCCACCAGGAAAATTTTTATTTTTTTTTATTAGTAGTTCTACTTTTTATTCCAAATTTAAATCTACATACCCTGCCTGCCCCCACTCCGCTCCACACACACTTTCAAAAACTGGCCTGTTTATATGATGTTGGCTCATCATACAGAATCTGAGTTGGTCAGCTCCTTTTTCCCATTTCCAAACTGAAAAATATATGTATGAAAAACATCACATCTATCAGGCTCTTAAATGGGCTCCTCAGCCTTTTCTTGACTCTATTTCAGAAATGCACAATTGCTCTTTCCAAATATAGCAATGCGGAAACATGATTTCTGTTTTGACATACCTTTAACCCACTTCTTTATTCCCTAACATTACAGTCTAATTCTCACTTAGCTCAAATAACTCAATCTTCAGTAGTCTCTGATTGCATAATAAAATTATAGTTTATCTTCTGCATAAATTATGACTATACAAGACTACATTGGAATAAATTCCCCCAAATTAGGGCTCTGTCATTTATTGCTTGCTATTTCTGGAACATTTCAGAGTATTTTCGATGTTCCCTAAATGAGTCCGTCAGATCCAATCACCCTGTTGTCTGTACTGTTCTCCTGCTCCAGATCCCATGAGTCTGTATGTGCAACTCACAAAACCACATGGATAATCCTCGTCGGTACTATTTTTTATCAGAAATCCAATATCATGACAAATAAAGCGTTTGAAAATGATTGCCCAATTGTTTAAGGGTTCTGATAGAGGTAAAAAAAAAATTCTTCCTCACCTTCTCTATATCTACCCCATATTATATCATAGGACCAAAAGCTTCTTTGCTTTTACTGTGAATCTAAACTGAAAAGTTTTATCATACCTGGTGTAAAAGTCTTTTGAAAATTCACTGAGAAAGGACTTTTCATCCTTCTTAGTGAATATATATTATTCTTAACATATGAAATAAACATGAGTCCAATAAGTTCACATCTTTATGATTTCCTTATAGTCTTTCCTATTTTTCTACCACTCAGGTTTAGAAATTATTTTTTAAAAATCTTATTAAATAATATAAACATAAAAATAAGAAATAAAAAAGATGGAAATATGAACATTTGCACAGTTACATTTGACTCAATAAATAATTGGTTAACTTTTTGATGAAACAGCTAAAAATGCTGGATTTTTAAACAATTTTAAAATCTTATTTTTTTGGATGATCAGGAAAATGAAATCTTAAGGCCAAAATCAACATTAACTCACAGAGCTAAGTAAACCATAAAGTCAGTTTTCAACACAAGACTTTTTGCCCAATTATGATCCTTAGCTTCAGGTTTCACATATTTTTGGGAGAAAGGACACAGGTGATAAAACCTAGGTTTCTAGTTACCTATCATCCCTAAGGTGCTATATTACTTGCCTTAGAGTAAAACAGTACAAATCGTATCGTTCACCAATTTCCTTGCCCTGTGGTTAAGGGGTAAGAAGAGAAAAAATGTTTCCATCTCAGGCATTTATGTTAGTGTTGTAAAAGAATAAATGAAAAAAAACTTCCCATGTGATGTCATAACTGTAAGCCACGTTTGCAATAACATTCACACTAGGGAAATTATAGGGAAGAAAAATGGAAATCAAATAAAATTCTGTTTGAAAGTATCCTGGATTGTCAGTGTCCCCAATCCTGGAAAGAGGAAATATACATAATCCTGAGAAGTACATAAAGCTACATCACAACCAGGTCTGAAATAATTCTTCCCGGTAATATTCCAGTGAACATTAGCTCACAACAAATGCAAAGACTACTAATCTAGAATTGTATAAGTAGCAGAAAATAAACACACAAAAAGGGAAAGCAAACTTTCAAAACAGGCAAGAAATGAGGGTGAAAATCAGGATGCTTTCAGAAAGGCAAAACACCAGAGTCATGTCAAACAGATTTTTATCAATAGGAAATTCTGTGGTGTACAATTCACGCACAATGGCATTAATTTTAATGAAAAGTCTGAACAGTAAGATGATGAATAAGAATAATAGTAAGCATATGACTATTCTAATAAATTGCATCACATGATGATTATAATGCTTGAAAGTTTAAAAAACAGAACATAACCAATAACAATACAATTTTATAAATTAGAGGGAGGGTTTCCATTGTTCTAATATTCCTGCACTGCTACAAGGTGGATAGAACTTTTGATACACATTAAAGTTCGGTATTTTAAATTGGCAGACTAAAATTTCTAGAGTAACCACTAAAAGAAAAGAGGTAAAATGTATGACTTCCAAATAAGCAGAGGGAGAAAAGTACAATGAGAGAAAAAATAAAAAAATCATTTTATCAAACAAAGCAAAACAGCAACAGAGGAAGCAAGTCAAGGAAGACAAAAAGCATAGAAGAGATGAGCCCCATGCTCAGTGAAGTTAAACACAACGCAGAATGAGCACCATTTCACAAACACTGGAGTGCCAAATATTAGAACTGAAGTACTGCAATAAAAATATACTACAGAGGATATAAGGCCATAAGATCATTTACTCATTATATACAGGAGTGAGTATCAATTAGTACAATCACTTCTGAAATAATTTGGCATTAACTGATAAAATTGAATATGCAAATACTTTTGAAATAAGTAAATCATACGGAGGTTTGCACCAAGAGTAGCTCCACTATGTACACATCCAAAGACCTGTAAAATCATCCAAGCTCACGGTTTAGATGGAAACAATCTTAAATAACCATAAATAATGAAATAGATAAATGAAAAGTAATACAGTTATTTGAAAGAA